ATGTGGTAGGATATTCACGCGAAACATTTATGTTCATAAATGATATGGAGGCGTGAGTGCTTGGCTCGAAATAGGCCTCTAATCAATTTGTTTTCTTTACTTTGTAAATGCTCACACCGGCCCATGACTAGTCGTAAAATAGGACAGTATCATAACGATTAGCGCCACTGTCATCAAGCTCCAACCGACCAAAGCAGAAGTTGACGAAACAAAAAACACCTTCCGCAAAACGACCTTGTCGAAGAAGAGCACGTCGCGTGGCTATGCTTTCCTACCAGGCTCATGAACTATCAAAAAGTCCTTAAGATCATATCAGACAGCAAATTTATCAAAAGTCCGTAAAATTACGAAAGGTAAAAAACTTTCTACGTCTTCGTATATGACGGTCATAAATCAACACCCTCTACTTATGTCATTTAAAGAGTTATAAAACTTTGTACCGGCTTAGGACACGATATACGTTAAACAGACTGCCCTGCTACGAACACCTCCGGAACAACACCCAATTCGAAATCATCGATGATCAATAATGGCAAAATGTGCAAAAAGCATTCTTTTTAAATACTTCGCGCGTTTCGTTAACGTGCAGAACATCTGACGTGTCGTTAAGGATCAAACTTAATGGGCTCAATGTCTAGTAGTAAAAATGTTTCACCTGGAGAAGTAGGTGACTGTTCAGAAAAAATCGAGACGAAAGAATGAGGTATCAGCGATGGAACGCGTGATTAATAATCTGCATGAATTTTCTGATAAGTATAATAGAGAAGTCTATTCTTTCTAGAGCAGTGTCTTGAGCCATGGTCTAAACGTCTGCGTATGCCGATCACTGTTTATCGTTACTGGTCTTTAGCAAAGACCACGACGTGTGATCACGTGAATTTCTGCAAGCATCAATGGAGAAGTATTTGGAGCAAATCTGCCTCGGTCAAAGGAGTAGGAAACTTGCAGTGACGCTGATCATCAGGAAGCAACTAAGAGTATTGTTATAAACAGGATCCATGCAACTCATTTCAATTCGTGTGTCCGAAGATCGAGAAACAGGCCCATCGACACTCCCACGTAACAAATAAACACACTGGTGGTGTTTTCACTACGAGTGACGACAGACGCTTCAGCCAAACTACAGTCACCATAATGAGACAAACAGACATTGCTTACCATAACGATGGACAACGTCGTTTGGCTGACATCTCGATGACTGTAATATAGACTACCATCCGTCCGTTTGGTGAGTCTATAGCCACAGAAGAACAAAGAGTTTAAATAGGATCTGTCGTATGCATGGCTAGCCATGAACCTGTTTCACGCTGAAAGAGTGTTTTTCTGGGATTCTATTAGTCTAGCTTCAAAGACAAACGGGCGCAGCTTTTTCCGCTAAATCACGAACATCCTTTTTTCAGATAAATCATCGTTCGATATTATGTACTGTTCTAAGCATGCAGTACAGCCATTTTTCCGTTAGTGGTAATGGTGCTAATCCTCCAATCATGCAAATAGCGTTGGAGATAAATGTAGAAAATCAAATAGATATCCAAACAGCGAGAGATACATCATGATTGAAAGTACTAGTAGGAACCAACAAATTGCAGATACTGAAAAAGGAATACCACCAGTTAACTTGAAGTCATCAGACGTTTACGGACATTGCAAAGAACTTTGCTGTTTCATCATCCTGACTTAGATTACCTAACTATGTTTGAGACAGGAAAATCGCGTCATGATTTCCTTCACTACGTTTCTGCTGATATAAGATATGCTTGTCCCATTACGTACGATAAAGGGAATGGTATTCGTGGTTGACCAGAATTGCTCAGTTAGCGGTGCGTTTGACGCAGGTCGAAGAGGTTCCGTGTTCCAGCATCAGTCGGGACACTCTTCTTTCTTACTTCTGACGTAGATAAACTAGTACTAATTATGCGAAGGAAATAGGAGGCTATTAAGCGTGCCACGTAACTGAAGACTCTGCCTTTAAAATGAGGCATTCCTGGACGATAGCAGAGAAACGGAGATCAAAGCAGTGCAGCATCGTTAAGTTCATGAAAATAAAGGCGACGCAAGTGGCCTACAGTCATGCCTCCAGAAAGTGCAGGGGGGACCGATGGTTTTAGGAATAACCTTCATTTGTGAGCACACACGGCCAGCTGTTTATATCAAATGATATAAGCGATACAGCATTAACAAATGTCTGAACGAACACGAACAGCGTCAAGCGTATACACCCTTCAGTCCCTTTAGTTATATTATACATGAAATTAAATGATGAAAAGTACACTAAAGTTTCGCCATGTCTTTAGAGTCCTTTCCAAGGAGCGCATGGCTAGGGTTTGACTCCATTGACTAACAGATCGTTCTTGACTTGACTGAATTGGCAATCGAAACAGCTTTTTGATGATCCATTCTTACAAATATAGAGCCCATAATCAGTTGGAAATGTCCGATGAAATACTGTAAGGCATTAACAAAAAATGGACTGTTTAGATCAGGGAATATGAATCTGAAAACGGATTACAGGAGGCACTATACAATTTTTCGATTGCGCGAAGTCACGATCCACATTCACGATAATCCACTTTGGGACTGACGTATTAACTAACCCTCGTAAAGACTTCAGTTTATGGTTCAGTAGGTGTTATTGCTTATCGTATCAACTTAAAGCTAAAGAAACAACCTCAGTTGTGTGGGCCATGACGACAAAGAGAGGGTATTCAAGGACATTCATTGGATTTTTGGCTGTGGAATGGACAACATGAGCACGTGGAGCTTTCTACGATAGGAA